AACAAGCAAGGTTGCTACTTACCACCTCTGTCTATAGAGGCGATACCATGTTCAATAACCCATAGACATATCAAGTCTCCAGAAAGGTATCTTAGCCCCAGGACCCTACTTTTGTGAACGGAATCACCGGGTCAGGTGCTCCTTTTCGAATCTGTATACTATGGAACAAGTCGTGGAAGTTCTTTCCCTACGAGAATTGCCCCTTCCTCATATGGATGCTTTGAGACTCACTTGTCTATACAATCCTTTTCTCAATCTCGTACTCGATTTTCCCCAACTCACCCACTCTCTCATGGCTTAGCCCTCCATTACACACTTATCATATCGATTCATCCATCATGTTCCACTTTATTACTTTGCTCACGCTCATCCTCACGTTGTTGCAGTCATTCGGACAGGCGGTGCCGCTGACCGACTGCAACGATGAATACTGTGTCATGACGCGTGCAGAATTGACACCTCTCGAGATACAACTCGAGCTCGGCCCACAACTCTGCGGATCCTCTTATATCTTTGGCCCGGATGATCCTCGATGGCCACAGCGAGTGATCAGGTTTCAGGAGTATATGGCCCCGCAATTCACCGTCTGGGTTCAGGTCGGCTGTGAAGATGATATTTCTACAGTGGTAAGTATTTTTTTTTCCTTTTCTCGCTTGCAACATCCCTTGACTGACCTGGAAAAGGTTCAATATGCCTATCAAAATGGCATTCCTTTCTACACGGTCAACCGCGGCTATGGATTGCCAAAATCGCAAGGGAAGTTCCGGGGTATGGCCATTGATGTCCAGCTCTTGACCGACGTCGTGGTGGATCGAGAGAGACAGATTGCGCGTGTATCGGCAGGAACAGCCACCCAGGAATTGATCGACGCGCTGTGGAAAGAAGGTTATGTTACAGGTCCGTCACAGCCATTTCTGTCGCATCATCAATTCATATGGCTAAACCGTCTTCTCTACTAGTTACCGGAGCCAGCTCGTGTGCAGGCATAGTTGGACAGGCTCTTGGGGGCGGCCACGGAAGGTACAAAACGCGCTATGGCCTGATGCTCGACAACATGGTTCGACTGAATGTCGTGCTGGCCAATGGAACTACAGTTGTAGTCTCGGACGACAGCCATGAGGACCTGTTTTGGGCCATGAAGGGTGCCGGACACAATTTCGGAATAGTGACCAGCTACGAGATGAAGATCTATCCGCATGAGGAGGATACTTGGTACTTTCGAAATTACGTGTTCACGCAAGATAAGTTGGAGCCCTTTTTCGAGCAACTGAACAAAGTAGTAGCTCGCAACGGGTCGCAACCGGTGGAAATGGACGTTGATTATGGCCATTTTGAATTCAACCCATTGTTCAGCGACACTGACGTGAGCTGAGTATCTCTGTTATACCTCTGACTCAATTTCTGACGTCTACCAGGTGATTCTCTACTGGACCTTCAACTACGCTGGTCCGCAGATCGATGCAGAGAAGTACCTGGCTCCATTTGATGCTATCGGCCCAATAAATGTCACCGACGGAACTGTGCCATATCCTGACATGCCCCTGGCTTCAAGAAATGGTAACCTCGACTCAACTTGTGCGAAAGGATTTGCAAAGAAGGCATCTACCGTTGGGCTGCAAGTCTATAACACATCTGCATGCCGCCAGGTCTATGATCTCTTCGATGCCAGGCTGAAGAAGTATACGGAACTCCGGCCAGCATCTTTTGTCTTGTTCGAAGGATACTCCGTCCAAGCTGTCAAGGCGATTGACCCAGCGACTTCGGCTTTCCCGCACCGCCATGATTATATCAATCAGTACGGCCTTTCATTTCTCGTATCTGAGCTTAATGTTCCTAGAGGGTGAAAGCTGACATCATCGTCATACAGAATTACCACAATAACGCATGCTCCGAATTCCAATCTTGATGAGCCGGCAATGCAGCTTGCTCATGATATTCGTGAACTCTTTATCGATGGCCAGCCAGACCGGCTACCCAGTGCACATGTCATTTATGCATTTGGTGACGAGCCCCTAGAACAGGTTTATGGGTACGAGCCATGGCGTCTGGAGAAGCTCTGGGCTCTCAAGGCTATATATGACCCGACCAACCAGTTCGCCTATCATGTGCCTGTTATTCCTCTGGAATGAGAGACTCTCCCGAGGCCTTCAAGATGTGTTTATTCATGCTGTTGATGTAAGCTAAGAGTGACGAGGTATTGTTACGCTTATTCATTGCAATTGAACTACTGTTTAAGTATTTCCCAGTGCATTGTCAATGCAGTAGCAGTAGCCCTACACAGATTTCATCTCTCTTTTCGCCTCATTCGCGAAGATTGCAAGGTCACAAGACGCGACTATTGTCATCTTAGTTCGGTCTCTTGTCAGAATCAACTTCTTTTGTGTTGCATTTTCTGGTGATAATACAAAGCGTCGATCACTTCATGTGCATTATGATTAAATATGCTCGATGTGCTTTAAACAAGCTGGCATGCAGGAAGTCACGACAGTTGAAGCCTAGTCTTGGGTCGTATCTATTTTAAGATGGCTTGACCCGAAGGTTCAGGTCGTTACTGTACCCCTTGCTGCCTGCAAGGGTCGAAGCTCAGACCGGACAGTATGACTGAGGAGCAGTCTCCAGGAGACGGTGCTACTCACCAACTGCAAGGGGGAGTCGCAGTCCCGGGTTGAGCTTGTCATTTTCCCATGTGGCAACGGTGTTCGTGCAGCTGCAAGTGGGCAAGCAAGCGTTCTGGGTTCTCATGGCCGTCTGGACTACCTTAGCCTAGACTATGTCGATGTGAGTGCGGACCTTAGATTGACAGCGTTAAGGTATAGGCTGCCATACGTCTAATGGACGTGAGGGTGGAAGCTTTCTGAGATGGTGTGCTCTCCTAAGAAGGCTGCCGAGTGTCTTTGGCGTCGTAGATGAAGTCGTGTCTGCTCATCTAGTTTCCATTACCATGTTTCCGGAGTAGCTAGGTGTGGTGGACGTTGTGCGTTGTGTGTTATGTGTTTTAGGTCGTTGTATCGCTCACAAGTGGATGTCTTTGTGTAGTTCTTCGTGATAAGGGCTGTCACGAGGGTTTGTGAACTGTGCTGGTATCGTCTGCGTTGTAGATACTGCTCAAATCTATCAAAAACCAATGGTTAGTGTTGCGTCGAAATGAGGAGTAGTAAGGAAACACCGTTCATCTGATGGATGGGTTTCGATTCATCGCTTGTGCGCTTTTCCTGACCCCAAATCTCCTTCGCTTGTTCAGATCTGTGGCACGTTGTTGCAGTGATCAGCAGCTTTGCAATGAATGTGGTTCGAATTGAAAGCTGATCGGATGCTTAGGGATGGGTGGGCTAAGCTCAGCAGCAAAAGTGGTATAGTGATTGGTAGTTTCCCGGGGTGTGGTTGTACTGTTAGCAGCTAGGGGGTTTACTAGGTACTAGGTACCTAGTAAGATGACTGGAAGGACCAGGCCTCTTCTTCCAATCCCATCTCTCTCTCCTCTCTTCTCCTCCCCGTCTTCCGTCTATCTGCAGACTCCCGGATTAATTAACTTAAATTTAGCTATTTTCAAATTTGTAATTGTACCAGTCCTGTGTATCTGTTTCTATTTGTTTTATCTATTTTATCTGCTTTACTGTGCTATCTGTTTTGATATCTGTTTCAACTGCCCTATATGTAATAAAGATTAACATTCTATCTGTTTCTCATTCTGTTTATAGCTTTTCAAGCTATATTGTATTTTTATTCATCTAAGAATAGTCTAATTTGAAGAGCTAAGTGAAGATTAAAAAAGATAGTCATAGATTATTCTACAATTTAATCTGTTAATTCTACTACTCTACCAGTCTATCAAGCCTTAATATACTACTTAGCTAAGGTGTTGAAACATTCAACTCGGTCTAACTGGGTATTGATAGATATTTATGCCAACTCCTACTTCTTCTATTCCTGAAGTGGTTCATGCGCGCGAGATTACACTGATATGCATATTTCACGGGTACTACAGGCTTATGAAATGTGTCTATTCGGTTATTAGTGCTATTCGGCCGCCATTAAGGTCTCCCCAAGTATGCTTTGGGCTAATTGATAACCTTTGGTAAAGGCCTGCATTTTTTGACTGTCCTGTCGGAGAAGCTCATACGCCACTTGTAAACACGAGGTTTCGCGGTCAACGATGTTCTTCAAAGCAGAACGGCTGACCATACTGGACCAAGACAAAGTGAAAGAGAATCTCGGGGGCAAGTCGGTCCTGGTCGAGATATGTCGTACTGAGGAGGATCGCGTGCGGGTGCTCCAGGAGAGGTTTGGGATTTGCTTGACCAAAGAGGAGCAGGATGGGATTATTGGTCGGAGGTCCGAACTAGTCCGGTAGTTTGAGTAGTATGAGGCTGTACTAGGTACATACATCCCTTACCATAGTCTGTCAAACAATCCAGCTCAAATGCTACCTAGCATAGGGCAGATTCCGGACCTTATGGATCTCCCACAACTAGGTCTAGAATGACTCTTCCTTCTGCTTAGGGTATAGCAAATTGGTAGATACGTCTTACAGTTTCAAGGTATAACTAGTGCTTGTGTTGGGTCATTTGGCCCCATTGGTGAGACAAATCAAGTCTAATACAGGAGCGAAAAAAGCAATGTCCTCGCTTAGAGTCAGTCTGCAAATCACACAGCATGCAGAAGGTCCACATGATAGCTGATCGATGATTGGGATCGTGTCGCCCTCAGTCATGATCTTGCAGTCTTATCAATGCATATTAGACTCAAGCGATGTCACATCGTCATGATTGCTCTCCCTTCACCTGATGCAAGTCTCCCTCACTCTGTCGACAAGGCTATCCGGATTCAGCCCATGTCTGGGAAAGTGGGAGCTCAGCCAGTACAGGCTCTTATTTAAACCCTCTGTGGTGATTGAGATGGCCCAGAATGATCTTTCCCCTAGATATCCCGACGACAGATATTCACCGCCAATGAGAAATTTTGTCCTCTCAGCTCGCCATATTTTCGCCTGGGTTGTCATTATGTGGAGTGCTTACGACAAGAAAGTACTCCTTGTCACAGGGGGTACAGGATTTCTGGGGACAACCCTCCTCTATCGCTTGCTCACTGAAGCGTCTCCGGCTCAAGTCTACGGTCTCTGTCGCGGCGGCCGCAAGTAAGTGTGACTCTAGTAGTCCGATTCAGCCCTGCACAATCATCACTCAACACAATACACAGGAGAGCATTGGAATGATGGCTCGAGCACTTACCAATGACAATCTTTCAACCAGTTCTTCGGGCGGCAAACCCGATAGCTGTTCTGGACGGGGATATTACTCAGCCCCGAATGGGTCTTTCAGAGTCAGAGTGGAAGAAACTCGAAGAATCAGTACACATCGTTGTTCATGCAGCATCATCGATCAATCTTTTGAGTAGGCTTCCGGCAATGTCAAAGTCAATCACCATCCCCACCGTATCACTGGCAGAATTAGCACTTGATTTTGTGAATCTCGAGCGCTTCGTCTATATTTCAACCGCGTATTCCAACTCGTATCTCTGGAAGCCACAAGCCCCGGCTGCGGACGTGGTTGTGAGAGAGAGAATCTACCCTCTCGGTGGGGACACGGAGGACTGGGCTCAATCCGCTCTGAAGGCATGGGAGGAAATCCAAGCTAGGGCCAGCAGCACTGAGTGTGAGTCGCAAGGCCTTTCCCCCTGGGCCTATGGGTATGCCAAGCATCCCACAGAACGTCTGTTGGTCCATCGCTCTTCCGAAGCAGGCGCCTCAGATTGATTGCTCATCATCCGACCGTCAATCATGGGCCCTGCGTGCGAATTTCCTTTCCCCGGATTCTGCGTGCCATCATCAACCCCCTTCATCACCGTGACAGCTATGATTATCCCTGACCCTGGACACGAGATCGTCTTCAATTCTCGGCTCAAGGATCCTTGCCACGAAGCCACATTGGATGAGCTCCCCATTGATGTGGTTGCCGACCGCCTGTGGGCTTATCTGGCTCTGGGCACCACGGAATTTGTGCATGCTGTTAGTGGGAAAGCCCTCCGGTGGCACCGCAAGGACTGGTGGCCGGTCATCATGAAGGAGAGAGTGCTTCCCTGGAAGCCCGGAATGGTTTTTGAGGACTTGGATTGGCAATCACCGAGGCTGCATCCGGCTGCTCGCCTGGGGGGCGTCGTCGGCACGTCGTTCGATTTCGTCGAGGATAAGACCCGACTTCTCGCAGAGTTGCTGAACACGCAAGATCATCAGCTTTGGCTCTTCACCAAGCCACGGGCTTTCTCTTTCGGCGCGGCACGCGACTACATGCGCGCGCTGGTGCGGGCCGAATCAGAGCGTAAGGCGCCGTCGAAATTGCGAGCCAATCAGTCTCCGCATAGAAAGGGTTTCCTGTGCATCTACCGGAGAAACTAACTCGGCCGAAACGTGTCTTCCCAGTTCGGCTTCGTCGTGTGCGAGCCGACAGCTTTCTTGGATTTACCATGTTTGCGCGGGATTATGTGGGCTAAGTTCGGAGGTTTGAGATTCCAATACCCGCATATCAGACAAAATAAATTGGCTACCCTGACGTATAATTCGGTGTCCTCCCAGTCGGCGGTTGGACCTGGAATAGGCTCAAATTTGAAGATCACCGGCATGGTGCTGTGAGTGCTTGAAAGAAATGTGATTGTCAGGGCCAGGACGGTGAGGATCCTTGTTGAAGAAGGAAACTGTTCCTCTCATGGTGAAGGCAGGTAAGGGTGACGTGGAAGAGGGGAAGTATTGGAGAAGTGTTCCGGAACCTTTTGGTCGAGCCTTGGACCACCTCTTCTCCGGCCATACCACGAATCACTATCATTTATAGCCAAAGAAGTCCATCTAAGGTAGGCATGATGGTACATCAATGACTGGGAAGAATGAACTGGACTGACCTTTCCTCATTTCCGGCAGTGATGTCCGTCCTACGCACCTCTTCTGCCGCCCTCGACGTCAACGTCTCCTATCCCATGTCCGGCATCACGACTCTGGGCAGCCTAATGCGCGGACAATTGCAGTGCAATCATAGCAGCATCAGACATACAAATAAGGACCTTATGGTCAGATGACTGCAGATTATTCAGGGGTCCAAGATTTATTGACCTCCACCAGCGAGTTCCACCCTCTCGGGACGGCGCTTTACCGTACGGCCCTTACGAGAATCAGCGATTCGGTTCCCTTCGACATACACCGGCATGAATACTGCTAGACTACTATAGTTCATATAGATAGTCTTTGACCTTCCAAATAGCGTCGACGATCCCGCCTTGGATTCTCGCGATCAGTGATGATCCGCTATCGTGCTCACGCACGCATTTGCTCATCTCGGAATTGTGGGAACCCAACGTCCCGGTCGCGTTATCTCGCGTTATCCTGACGACAGACAATCTCTTGTCCTATGCAATGAAGTGCAGTTCCTTAGCCCAGACGTACACTTTCCCCGAAGCGACGGAACACAATGGCAACCAACTCCGCTTAGGTGAGATTGAAGTTTATCATTCCCGATTAATCATCAGAATGTGGCAGCCCAGACATGCATCGGATCCGCGTTTCATGGTTCCTGGAGCAGAATCTGAACGGTTGTCCAACGTCCCGGGGGTCCAGCGGCCCAGCCGTCCTGCTACTGGGGAAAAGCATGGCGGGAGCTGAGGGATCCGATTGAGCTGGTCTCGGTTGTGAGGCCTTCCGCCATCCGGGCCCACTTTGTGATCTCATTAGATTCACCACCTGCCAACGAGACGAACGATATGCTTTTCCGGGACCCATTCTCTTGGACTCCCTAAGCCTAACCTCCCAATCCTGTTGAGAATTTGGAAACGATGCCTTACGACAGGCTGCGATTGCAATATCTATAGACTTTCGGCTAGAATTCAGGGGAGATCCCGAACGTTCTCTAAGTTTCAACTACCGGTTCCACATGGCTTATCAAGCATAGTAGGTGTTTAGCATAATTGATGCATCCTTCGGTCTGATCAGTACGACAGCAATTGATTGTGGCTGCCTGTTTCATCCTTCTTAAATCTAAAACCTTTCCTCCTCTACAATCTGCCTCTCGTCACTATTCCACATGGTAGAACCATTATAATTCAGCATGTCAACAGAAAAAGTGCCACTGGAGCCTGAGCTCCATGCCGACAACCATGGGAGAAGCTTCCTTGATTCACAAACACAGTCGTGGTCTGCACCTTCCATCTCTGCATCTGCATCAGGTCAGCCTGAACGAAGAGAGGCCGATCCTGGTCACGCCCATTCCATCTCTTCCACGAGCTCCACTACTGAAACCGAGGTCGAACACCACCAACCCAGAAATACCCACCGTGCATCGCTGAACCCGAACGACGAGGCCTACCTCACCAAACTTGTCAGCGCAGATCACAGTATTGCTCGAGTCAACACCCTAGCTAATATCCCCACAAACGACCCGGCACTCAATCCAGATAGCAAAGACTTCGATCTATACAAATGGCTGCGGAAGATCTCACACTTGCTGAACGAGGGAGGAATCCAGCAGAAGGAAGCGGCCATCTACTTCGAGAACCTCCGAGTATCAGGGACTGGATCGGCACTGCAACTTCAGCAAACTGTGTCGGACCTGCTTACAGCACCCCTGAGGCCGCGTGAAACTTTCAATCTTGGTCCCAAGACACCCAAGCAGATTCTACGGGGGTTTGATGGCGTGTTGGAGAGTGGAGAGTTGCTGCTCGTGCTGGGCCGCCCTGGTTCAGGCTGCAGTACATTCCTCAAGACGCTCTGCGGCGAGTTGAATGGACTGGACCTGGATCCCGCATCAGTGATCCACTACAGTGGTATTCCCCAGAAGACCATGATCAAGGAATTCAAGGGTGAAGTTCTCTACAACCAGGAAGGAGACAAACACTTCCCGCACCTGACCGTGGGACAGACACTGGAATTCGCAGCATCTGTTCGGACACCCTCAAAGCGTCTCCAGGGCATGTCCCGGAAAGAGTATGCAACAATGATGACGAAGGTGGTCATGGCGGTGTTTGGCTTAAGCCATACGTACAACACCAAGGTGGGAAGCGACCACGTCCGTGGTGTATCGGGTGGTGAGCGAAAGCGTGTCAGCATTGCAGAAATGGCAGTCTCGGGAGCCCCCATCGCTGCGTGGGATAACTCAACTCGTGGTCTAGATTCAGCGACGGCTCTGAAGTTTGTGCAAGCTCTACGACTGTCGGCCGATCTAGGATCGTCATTGCATGCGGTCGCTGCCTATCAAGCCAGCCAAGCGATCTATGATCTCTTCGACAAGACTGTGCTACTCTACGAGGGACATCAAATCTACTACGGATCGGCCGCCAAGGCAAAAGCTTTCTTTGAGCGTCAGGGCTGGTTCTGTCCTCCACGCCAAACAACCGGTGACTTCCTGACCTCCGTTACGAATCCGGTGGAGCGGCAGCCAATTCCTGGTATGGAGGCCCGAGTACCGCGTACACCTCAAGAGTTCGAAACATATTGGCGTCAGTCACCTGAGTATCAGGAACTTCAAAAAGAGATGGCTGCTCATCAACAGCATGTTTCGTCCCGCTCGAATGAAAAGTTGCTAGAATTGCAGCAGCAGAAGCGTCAAGAACAGGCCAATCATACGCGGGCAGCTTCGCCATATCTTCTTAGCGTACCTATGCAGATTAAACTCAACACTATTCGGGCCTACCAGCGGGTTTGGAACGAGCGGACTTCGACAGTGACAACCGTGGTCGGAAACTGTATCCTGGCTTTGATTATTGGTTCAGTCTTCTACGGCTCCCCTGTGTCTACGGCGGGATTTTTCTCCAGGGGTGCAGTACTCTTCTATGCGGTGCTCCTGAACGCTCTTACGGCCATGACAGAAATCAACAGTCTGTACTCTCAGCGTCCGATTGTGGAGAAACACGCGTCCTTTGCCTTCTATCACCCAGCCACGGAAGCCATTGCCGGTGTCTTGAGCGACATACCGGTCAAGTTCCTTCTAGCGGTGGTTTTCAACATTATTCTGTACTTTCTGAGTAATCTGCGCAGAGAGCCATCGCAGTTCTTCATATACTTCCTCATCAACTTCATCATCATGTTCGTGATGAGCGCTGTATTCCGGACTATGGCTGCGATCACCAAAACTGTCTCCCAAGCCATGACCTTGGCCGGTATTTTGATTCTTGCCTTGGTCATCTACACAGGCTTCGTGGTTCCAGTGCCCAAAATGCATCCCTGGTTTGGATGGATCCACTACATCAACCCGATCTACTACGCGTTCGAAATTCTGGTTGCCAACGAGTTCCACGGACGCGAGTTTGCCTGTTCTGCGTTTGTCCCCTCCTACCCGAACCTCGAAGGCGACTCTTTCATATGCTCCGCGACTGGAGCTGTTGCCGGTCGTCGGACTGTCAGCGGCGACGACTTCATTTGGGCTTCATACAGGTATACGTACAGTCACGTTTGGAGGAACTTCGGCATCTTGATCGCATTCCTCATCGGTTTCCTGGCCATTTACTTTCTCGCCACCGAACTCAACTCATCTGCCACCAGCACGGCCGAGGTTTTGCTGTTCCGGCGGGGACACGAGCCTGCTCACCTGAAGCAGGAACAAGGGGCTAGCGTTGATGAGGAATCTGGCAAGCCTGCCGCTACTTCAACGCAGGACAATGCGAACGACAAGCAACAGAGTGGAGCCTTCTCCATCCCACCTCAGCGGGACGTTTTCACATGGAACAACATCGTCTACGATATTGAGATCAAGGGAGAACCGCGTCGACTGCTCGACCACGTGGCCGGCTGGGTCAAGCCAGGAACCCTGACAGCGCTGATGGGAGTCAGTGGTGCCGGCAAAACCACTCTTCTCGATGTGTTGGCTCACCGCACGACCATGGGTGTCATCACGGGCGACATGTTCGTCAGTGGTCGTCCCCTGGATTCGAGCTTCCCTCGAAAGACCGGTTATGTTCAGCAACAAGATCTGCACCTCGAGACCGCGACTGTCCGCGAGAGCTTAAGATTCAGTGCTATGCTCCGACAGCCGGACTCGGTACCGATCGAGGAGAAATATGCCTATGTCGAAGAGGTCATCAAGATGCTGAACATGGAGGAGTTCGCTGAAGCTGTCGTCGGTGTTCTCGGCGAAGGTCTTAATGTCGAGCAACGCAAGCTGTTGACCATCGGAGTGGAATTGGCCGCCAAACCGAAGCTCCTGCTGTTCTTGGACGAGCCAACCAGGTAAGGCCTCATTCAGCTAAGCCGTGGCTTTTAAGCTTAAGCACATATCTAACTATTCATCTATAGTGGTCTAGACTCCCAGAGTTCCTGGGCTATCTGCAGCTTCCTGCGCAAACTCGCCGACGCCGGCCAAGCGATTCTCTGCACGATCCACCAACCCAGCGCTATCCTATTCCAACAATTCGACCAGCTCCTATTCCTCGCCCGCGGCGGCAAAACTGTATACTTCGGCCCGATCGGCGAGAATTCCCGGACGCTCCTGGACTACTTCGAAGCCAACGGCGCGCCGCGGCGCTGCGACGATGAGGAAAACCCGGCCGAATACATGCTCGAGATCGTCAACGCGGTCAGCAACAAACACGGGGAGGATTGGTTCGAGGTGTGGAAACGGAGCCCGGAAGCCACCGCCGTGCAGCAGGAACTCAACCGAATCCATGCCGCCAACAGCAGCCAGGGACCACCGCACGCTTCCGAGGAAGATCCGCGGGAGCACGCGGAGTTTGCCATGCCGTTGACGAAGCAGCTGCCGATCGTGATGCGGCGGGTGTTCCAGCAATACTGGCGCACGCCGATGTACATTGTCGCCAAGATGATGCTGGGGATCTGCTCGGGCCTGTTCATCGGGTTCAGCTTCTTCCACGCGGACAGCTCGACGCAGGGGCTGCAGGACGCGATCTTCTCGGTGTTCATGCTGTGCGCGATCTTCTCGTCGCTGGTGCAGCAGATCATCCCGATGTTCATCATCCAGCGGTCGCTGTACGAGGTGCGGGAGCGGCCCAGCAAGACCTACTCGTGGAAGGCGTTCATGGTCGCCAGCATCATCGTCGAGATCCCCTACCAGATCGTCATGGGCATCCTGGTGTACGCGTGCTACTACTACGCCGTCGACGGGGTGCAGGCCTCGTCGCGCCAGGGGCTGGTCTTGCTCTTCTGCATCCAGTTCTTCATCTACGCCAGCACCTTCGCCATCCTGTGCATCGCCGCCCTGCCCGACGCCGAGACCGCCGGCGCCATCGTCACCCTCCTCTTCTCCATGGCCCTCACCTTCAACGGCGTCATGCAGTCCCCCTCCGCCCTCCCGGGCTTCTGGATCTTCATGTACCGCGTCTCCCCCTTCACGTATTGGGTCGGCGGCGTCACCGCCACCCAGCTGCACGGCCGCCCCGTCCAGTGCAGCAGCACCGAGCTGTCCATCTTCAATCCCCCCACCGGCCAGACCTGCGGCGACTACCTGAGCGACTACCTCCAGACCGCCGTTGGGTACCTGAAGAACCCGAACGCCACCGCCAGCTGCGAGTACTGCTCCATGTCCGTCGCCGACCAGTATCTGGCGGGTGTGAACATCTTCTACAGCGAGCGCTGGCGCAACTTCGGCATCTTCTGGGTCTACATCGTCGTGGATATCGCTGCGGCCGTGTTCTTGTATTATGCCTTCCGCGTCAAGAAGTGGAGCCTCGCCTCGCTGAAGAAGGGGAAGAAGGAGTGAGTGAGTGACTCCAGTTGGGATGGCCTATCACTCCTCCTTCTTTGCCTGCTGTTTCTCTCTCCCTAATTGACCTCGGTTTCATTTTCTTGGCATTTCACTGCTCACTATAGCCATAGACGAGCCTGTTATCTACTTTTTCTGTATCCACGATTCCCCACATGGACATTTGGAATCTGTTCTGTATAGATCGGGTTAACACTATATCTATGTAATTAGTCTTCCATATATCTAGATTACAATTAGACTTACCATTCTCCAATCTTTACTACTACAATGGCTATCTTATAAGGATAAACTATCTCAAAATGAGGACGAGGATGGATATAAAGGGCATAGAAATGCTTCAACGTCAAAAAACACCACGGGCCATTCAAAACAAATAGATCCTCCTCTCGTCCATCCATTGGAGGACAAAAGGTGGTTCCTCGTTCCGAACACAAACCCGAAGTCTAGATTGACCTTGCCTTTTCTCTTGGTTCTTGATTTTTTGGAATGAGTTGTCTGAAAATACACTGTTATCTCTGAGAGAGAACATGCACATACAACGATAGATGATATCATCAGAAGTCCTCAAGATCAGGTGTCAAACCCGAGGTCGACCGAGTAGTAAATTGCTCATCAACCAGATCTAGACACCCGTTCTCTTGGAAAACCGAACGTATTATCACTGCATGATGAAACATCGAACATCGTCGTAGACGAACAGCTCGTCATTCTCCCTTCGCAAGCTACTGCAAAGCTCTGAGAGCCTCGACATTACCAAGCTGCGCCACCACCACCACCATTATAATTCCATTCGTCATTGTTTTCCTCCTCAAAAGCGGGCGCATCTTCATTGTCACCAGCTCCAGAGATCCAAGGTTCGGGCTCGGTTGAGTCGTTTTTGTCGGTGGGTTCCTCAAACGACTCTTCGGCTGGGGCCTTCGGGCAACGTCTGATAGTGTGGCCCACTGGTTGGAAAAAGAGTGAGGTAATTAGTGATCTGTATCAAGAGCTTTAGAAGGAGGGAGACTTACTCTCTCCACAGTTGCGGCATTGGACTCGTGAGTAATCGCGCTTCTTAGTACAGTCACGACTAAAGTGACCAACTGAGTCCTGGTGTTAGCTATCGTGCTATGTGAAATTGCGTGATAAACATACCCTCATCACAGTTACGGCAGGTGACGGTAGATACATCACGGGGTTTGTCGCAGTCGCGCGCAATATGGTCCTCGGATCTGTGCAATTGATATCAGTTCACTTAAGCGGAGAAGCTATTAAGGGTAATGCTCACCGGCAGTTGCGACAGGTCCTGGGCTCAGGTTTCTGAGGGCAGTCCTTTGCGAAATGTCCGACTAAGCTTGTTAGAATTGCGACTAGATGGAAAGATGAGCCGTGTGGTTTACCTTCGTTGCAACGCTTGCACTCCACACCCTCCGCTGAGCGAGGGTTGGGACATTCAGCAGCTTTGTGCTCAGGAGAACTTGCAGATGTCAGTTGCCTCAAATTCTGAAGATCTAGGGCTGACCACATACCCGCAGTTACGACAGGCAAACTTGTCACGACGAGGCTCAGTGCAGTCGCGAGCGCGATGACCGACAGCACTGCAGTTGACGCATTTCACTTCGACACGCTCAATCTCGGCTCGTTCCTGCGTGCAGCCACGGGCAGTATGGCCCATTTCTTGAGCAGGTTAGTGGTTGTCCCATGATGGTGTGAGTCAACTTACCACCGCAATTGCCGCACTTGGGGACCTGACGATCGTAAGGCAAACCAGCATCCTCGAGGCGCTCAAGATTCTCATCGTCGCTAGATGGCCAACGCTCTCTAAGATGCGCACGCTGTGGCTTGGGGCTGAAGAAGTATCCAACCACGTATGTACAGTCTAGCTTGCCTTGGAGATTGATGAAGCTGATACAACTGTTCGCTTCCCTTTCCTGTGTCGTCCAGTCAATACAGATTTGATATGGAATTGGGTAGACAAGGCCAGGGGCTGTACGAACCAGCGCGATGATGTAGAACTTGAGGTTTTCCTCACGCATTCTCTTCTCGATATCGACGAAAGTGGCCTCAGGAACTGCCTTCGAGAAGATCTTGATGCCCTAGTCTGGATCAGTATGAAGCGATGACAAGCCGAATGCTCAGGAATGATAAGCAGGTAGAATGTTGTTGAAAGTTGTGTCTTACGGTGCGAAAATCCTCCAGGTCTTTCTCATCGCTGGCCTTCTGTAGAAGGTTCCAGGCGTCCTCGGGGGGCATGTCAGGGACATCATTCAAATCGAACTTGCGATTCTCCTTGCAATCGAGGGCACGATGACCTGTCTCGAAATATTAGATCAGTGTGTTGCTTGACGTCAGAGGATTCTGCTTCGCCATACCTTCCATCTTGCAGTTTTTACAAACATCAGCAGGTCTTTCAGGACACTCGGCAGCAGGATGTCCTTCCTGGTTGCAGACACGACAGGTACCCTTAAAGACACGGGGCTTAGTGCAGTCGGCCTTCGAGTGTCTATTTTGTATCACGTTAACCAGCGAAAATTAATATGTGTTCCGTTTTCTAGACTTACCCTTCCTCGCCGCAGTTGAAGCAGGCACCCATAGACTTTTTAGGCTCAGGACACATGCGGGCGAAGTGGTCATCGGCCCCACAGCTGTGAGAATCAGAGTTAGCCATCTGGTAGTGTTCCTCTAGCAGTAAGGTGAGCACTTACTTGCGACATCTGTTATCGTCCTGTCCGTCGGCAGCAGACGCGCGGTCATAGTCATTGCCACCGTAAGGAGCAGAGTTGAAATCACCAAGTCTGGCATTTTCGTCATTGCCATAACCTAGTATTGCGTTAGCTGTTATCTTGTAACTGACCTGCAGTATATCTGAAAGGACTGGAGAACGCGGTGACCCAGAGGTGTGTGGGTGGGAAGTCTTAGAATGGGTAAGGTTACTAACCAGTGTCACGACCGTCTTCGCTCCACTCCGCGCTATTCCAATTGTCCATCTTTGCTATGCAACCGAGCTGTTGCTAGGGAAAAGAGAACTGTGGAGCACACATATCATCAGTCACTCGGATATCCTCAAAGAAAGACTAAGCCTGTTGAAGGGGGGTACGTGTAGAACGATCCTTCAGTTGCCTGAAGTGAGACTGGAAACCTGGGGATGAGACCTCGAGTCTTCTGATGTGATCTGGTGTAGCTTATTTGCAAGAAAAGTATCTTGTAATAAAGTACTCTTCCCAAACTCTCGAGATTTGTGTGCAGAAAGTGAACTAACCTTGGTGCTGGAGGGAGAATCGTTGAGGATTTGAAAGTGGGAACCGGAGTATTAAAGCCTCGATCAGGTATAGTAAGAAGAAGTAGAGTGACAAGAGAGGAGGGGCAGGAGGTTGCAGGGGAGAAAGGTGTTGGATGAAAGAAAGAGTGAGAGGAGGAGGGTGAGGAGAAGTGAAGTAGCAGGTAACCAGAAACACTGGGAACACAGACAAACGAGCCAAATATTCCCTGCTGTCGCCATCCACATTCATTCACCTTATGGTCTCATCTGACTGCCCGTTCAACTACCTGTTATCTCGATCCTAATATTATTACATAGGAGCTCCTGAGGCTGATCTTATGATCTTTCGTAATTGACATTCTTCCACTAACTTCGTTCTTTATCCACATTTCACGACTCCGAATATCACAAGAGAAAGAAGGTGATGAGACTAAAGAATAGATCATACCTGCATCCAGGCACTTTGACGAAACAAAAGCAAAATGAAAAACACACAGGTAGATTAAGGTCGGCGAAGTCAGAGATTTCGAGGAAATCCCAACGATACCAATGAGATCATGAACGAGAAGGGAAAAAAGGAAACAAACCAAAGTGCTCAGAATCTTCCTCAATGAGCCACGGTGTGCTTAAAAGCCTACTTCGGAGCAGGGCGAAAGGTCGTAAAGAGGTGGTCGAGCTGTTCTTCGAGCTCGGTACAACGCTGGCAACCTTCATTGCTCGTAGCCGGCTTCATCTCGACCTTCTCGGACTTTACCTGGAGGAGTTCGGCCTTGAGAAGATCCATCTCTTCTTGCAAGTCGGCTTTGGCCACCTCAAACTGGCATTTATCAGTCATGGTGCTCATTTTCAGACTTTTCAGCTCATCCTCGCTCTCCTTCAGCTTGCTCTCCATCTGTACCAGGGTTTGCTGCAATGACTTGTACTCATTGATAATCTTCTCAAAAAACTGCATTCCTTCTGGTAGCTCGGTGATGTTGCAAGAGGATTTATCAATCTTTGCCACATCGACAGTGACAGTTTTTGGCGCCTTTCGAGTATCACATCTTTCAGCAGCTTGGGCCTAATGATAATTCGAAATAATATTAGCATCCAAAGTGGGACTATATAGCCGAATCCCCATGCCTACCTTCACGAATGTGTTCTCTTCCACAAACAGCTGGTTGGAGGGTTCGTCTTCTGAGTTATCACTGCTGCGCTGTCAGTATTGTTGCGATGGACCTTCAGAAGATGATTCCTTACTCAAAGCCACAGATTGTCTTAGTCTTTTTGGGTTCAGCAAAGCTCTCAGGTGTTCCTGAGCTAGCAACGGAACGCTTTCTACCCTTGCTGGGAGTCGGGCCTTGATTACCTTCAGCAGGCTAGTGACAGCGAGATCATGTTAGTAAGGATAATCCGATGTCTGAGTGTTGATAAATACCATCTTTTTGGATTCCTTTTCGCCTCGACAATAGTTCTTTCAAAATTAGTATGAGAACCTGAAGGCATATAAATAAACATGTAGTATACTTACAGAATAAGCCCCTTGAATTGCAGCAAGGCTTCGATCCGGAAAGTATTTCTAACAATGTCAGAGAACGCGTCAGTGACTAGATTGTAAATTCGAGGATGAGCGTTGATACCTTCTGAAAAACTGCCCACGGTACGTCTTTCTCTACCGTTCGCAGCTCCACCAGGCGTAGCTTTTCGGAGTCGCTCCAGGGACGGGCCTGTGGTTTCTTGCGAGGCTCTGGTGATTGCATTGGGGAGGCTGACGTAGTAGAAGGGTAAAAAGGGGCTGTGTGGAGTAAAATAGCTGAATTGAAACAGCTTGTATCTCGGTGGGAAGAGTGGATCAAAAAGGCATAAGTCCGCTCAGCTATGTAGCAGTTGTCGAGAGATAAGGAGACTGCTGTGCAAAGACAGACGTGAACTAGATGGAAGGAGACAGAGATGAGGATGAGGCAAGAGAAGAATCACACGAAAGGGTGTTGCGCCAGCTTGTAGCATCCAGTATCTGACAATTCAATGGTGCACTTAGTGTGAGTGAGAGCTTCAGTGCCAGCTTATGGAACTAGCAGCCCAACAATTGAAACAACTTAAAGAAGTGCAGAATGTCTGTCTGGATTCCAGAGCAACGAGTGAGAATTCCCAGTGGTTCAAACCAAAAAAGAGAAGCAGGTCAAGTCTTGAGGAATTTCGCGTATGTTTAACGGTCAGGTGTAACTGTAGGTGTAGATATCTTCATCAGAAATCATCATAGTGCAAAATGCCCCACGTCTGCACAATGAAGGTAGAGAGTTTGCAGAGGGTGTAGGCAATAAAGGGAAAACACAACAAGACAGAGAACTAAATGGTTGGCTGGCTGGCTGATATCAGAAAGTAGACAGCGCCTGTTTCCCAGCATAAGGAAGAAAGGTAGATACTTGATAGTAATAGTGATAAGAAAAACAGGTAGGTAAGGATCATCCAATAGTCATGCAAGTGACCTTTAATGTGAATCCATCTTAAGGATATTCTTCTGTTTGTTTGACGATCTTAAACCTGTTAAAGGAATACGAAGCATTGCCACATCACTTTCTGATTATGGGTTCATATAAGAGATTTCAAAGTTACTTTTGATATCAAAATGAAAATGGCTGTTACTCAAGGTACTGCACAAGTAAAGAAAGATTCTTGTTGTGCTTACATATAGCTTTCATCAATGAGGGCTTTGATAGTGACTAGACTCAAGGACCACGTGCCCGCAGCCACGTGCTTGTACCGACAATATGGCACGGTAGATTTAATCAATCGCATCTTATCTTTAGGTCACTTCGAAGACATCTTGTCCCCACAACATAAACAGCCGAGCTCATATTTCACTCGAAAGCGGGGTTCCTTGAAGTGATCCCAGCGGACTTTCCACTCGGTATTGAGGATCAGCTTGAGCTCTTCATACTTACTTCCTAAATCGACTACAACTGAGAGGAATAGTTTGACTTGTGGTGGCACTGCTCACCTCATTACTTCTTCGCGGTGATCGATAAGAGAAAGGGTGTATGCTGGCTAGTGTTTTACAGATCCCTCAAGTGAATATCAGCAACAACCTTCCACTAATCGCAGCGTTGCGCTGGCGAGCATAGGTTCCTGAATCTAGCAAGCCATATACAGACTGAAACCCCGGCAGATGTCATCCTAATTACATAGAGAGCAATACTTGTTGAAAGAAACCCAGGGTAGTTTGTCTATTTTGTAAGCAACTCAAAGCTCCAGGCAACCTTGAAGTCGGTTTGTGATGCCCTTTCTAGCGGTTCAAGTCAGTCTCGAAAAGATGCCACGCCCTTTTCGGCAGGCCATCTGCTGTAGGTACAGAGAGAGCCTTGAGTACCAAGAATAGCCTGCGATATCCTTTGGCAGTGACACGCACTGGCCACAATTGCAAACATCAGGCTAGATAACATTAAGATATGCTAGTCATAAGAATGTCACGCAAAATATTACTTGTCGGGGTGAACGATATTTCACCACATCTCTAGGCGTTTGGGCCGCTCTGCGATGTGTACAGTGCGAATAAAAACCTACATCCACTGGTTTGAAGATATTCTGGATTGATGACTGAAGCTCGCTACATGTTGGTCGGCGAATCCTGAATTGCACATAGATTCAGGCCGGTGATAAAAGAGCACAAACAGACAGACGAAGATCATACACAGTACGAAACACGCCGATTTTACTTGAAGAGTCTGCCCAGCAGTCCTCCCGCAAGGTTACTCATGATGCCCCCGGAAAGCGCGCTGTTGGCGACGCTGAAGCGATCGCACCGGGAGAAAGCGAGCGTGTTCGTGATGGTCAGTACTAGAGCGATAGCTGTAACAAGTTAGTCGCCAGACCTTAGAAGCTGGGAACAAGGGGCCGCAACACGTACCAACCAAACTCAACCAGATCACACTGCTCAATTTGATGATGGCCAAAATAGCCAAGCCAACCCAGAGCGTAGGCGTGAGATACAGACTAAGCCAGAAGAACCGCTTGTCCGTGGCGGCAATTGTACGGGTGGTAGGATCCGAGGACTCGAAGACCCAGTGTGAATCGCCGCTCGATGTGTTGACTTCGTTCCACCAGCGCAGTCCGACTAGTCGACGCCCAGCAATGTTCTTGAGGTAGTAGAAGTCCGCGGAGAGGAGCAGCAGCGTTAGGATGAAAACCAGGACACTGTTCGATCAAGATCAGTCAGATAAGCTCGGACAATTGGTCGCGTGGCCCATAAGGCAATATCTCTGATGCCCGTGGGATCGTCTAGAGTTGTATAATAATAAATCAGAGCCAGAGTTCTCCAGTACGTACAAGTTCTTGATGAACAGAACACCGAAAAGGTACATCAACAGGGCACTAATGCGGAAGCCCAGGAAGAACAGTAGGGTGATCGGGTGGGCGCTGAGGCGCCAGTTCAAATCTCCCTGTTGCGGTTGGAGGGGTTGTTGTTCCATGTTGGTTGAGGTGCAGACTCCAGAGTCCAGCAGCTCTTCAGAGGTTTTCAAACGAAAGGATAAGGAGGGTGGGACAACAGTCAAGCTGTTTGACACGCAACGAGAAGCAGGAATGTGCTCAATGCGTTGATGCTGCGTGTCTCCATGGCCCCGGCGGTGGATACTGGCAGAATGCGGAGCCACCGCCGGCCACATGAATGGTTGTGTTCCTTTCCTTAACGGACGGAATTCCTCTTGCTAGACTCTCAGCGCATTACGATGGCAGAACGAAGCTCACTCATTACTTCACTGGATTCCCTAAGATCACTCATAAATATGCAGCCAAGAGGTAAGGAGGGAGAAGAGCATCTCTCCACGGCAGACCATGCATAAGCGATCCACCCTAGTGGATGAGGTCATTGGACCGATAGAGAGTTCCTGACGGCGGGAGAAGCCTTTATGCGCCGCGGCCAGCAACCCGGGCGAGGATGTCCATCGGTCTAGATTCTCCTCTTTCCTCCACACTCTATATCTTTCGCACTCTCCGCTTGCACCGGATAGATCTCAGCCGCTCGATCCACGTACCAGGATACTCAGAAGATACAAGCAAGCCTCAATTTCCGTCACAATGGCAGCCCGTAACACGCTCCGTCGAGCTCTTCTCTACAGTATGTCTCTATCGCCCCGTATACTTATCGCGAACCCACAGGAGCTCTCCCCGCATTTTCCTACGGGAGCGTTGTCCACCCCCCAAACCACCTACACCAGCACCACCCACACACAACGTTTAACAGACAAGAAACTAAGATGATATAATCTAGTCCCCGGCTCCTCGCAACGCTTCATCGACAAATCCCGCACCCTAACCGCCGACTGCGTGGCCTACGACCTCGAAGACAGCGTGACTCCGCACAAGAAAGCGGAAGCCCGCTACCTGGTGCGCAGGGCGCTCGACCAGCCGGCACCAGAGGGGATTCGCGAGCGCGCCGTCCGCATCAACTCCGTGGACAGTGGTCTCGCCCTGAGCGATCTCACCGAAGTCGTCAGTCCTCACTCCTCCTCACCACCCCCATAAATCCATCACAGCGCCACGCGCCACCTAACTAAGCTAACCCTTGAATCACACATCCAACAGCTCCAATCCCCCAACCTCACCACAGTCGTAATTCCCAAAGTCAATTCCCCCTCGGACCTAACTTTCGTCACCGACGTGATCACCCACACCCTCTCCCAGCAACAACACAACCCAGATCGTCCGCCCATCTCCCTCCTCGCCCTCATCGAATCCGCCAAATCCCTCACCAACCTCACGCAGATCTGCGCCTCCACCCCGCTCCTCCAAGGCTTGATCTTCGCCGCCGAGGACTTCGCCTTGGACCTCAGTCTCACGCGCACCCCCTCGCTCACCGAGTTCCTGTTCGCGCGGTCGATGATCGCCACCGCGGCCCGCGCGGCGGAACTCCCCTCGACGATCGATCTGGTGTGCACCGCCTACCGATCGAGCAAGGGCGACGGGTCGCCCCCCGCGGTCTTGGAGGAGGAGTGTCGCGACGGTCGCCGGTTGGGGTTCAATGGGAAGCAGTGTATCCATCCGTCGCAGGTGGAGACCGCGCAGCGGATCTTCGGGCCGGATCCTGAGGAAGTCCAGTGGGCGGTGCGGGTGTGCATCGCCGATGACAAAGCGGCGCAGGCCGGGCGTGGGGCCTGGACGCTGGATGGGAAGATGATCGATGTGCCTGTGGCGGAGAAGGCGAGGGCTGTGGTCAAGAAGGCGGAGGCGTGCGGGTTCAATGTGCGGGAGTTGAGGGAGAAGTGGAAGGGTCAGGAGCCGGAGTAAATAGTTCGGCTTTGGTACGAGAGAATCAGTGCGACATCGACTGGCATCATTTCTCGATTACTGAGATGCATATATGCATGCTGAAAGATAGGTATATACATGTTATAGTGTTCTTCCGTATCTAGCATAACCTAATTCGGCCGGCGTAAGGTCGGAATGGTCTGCATGGTGAGAATAATAGAACAAGGGCACGCTATAATAGCTAGCTAGCTGAACGCTCTACACGAGGGAAAGTAAGAAAGGGTCGGTCAAAATTTAGCTCGTGCCCGTGACTTGCGCAACTTGCTTGCGACATCCGTCCTCGGGCAGGGCACCGTTCGGACTCGATCCTGCTTGCTGATAGTGGCTGTCGAAGCGTGTGGTGGCACAGCAAACTCCCGAGATATTATCTGAGCTATGAGCAAGAAAAGTAGAGTAAGAATCGATAGAGAGGAGTGGGATATGATGAGAAGGTTGCGTGTGCCATCTCAAGAAAGGAGACATTGAACTTGTAGAAGATGTATGGATTATGACTTCGGTTCCAAGTCTTCGCGTTTCAACAACTGAATCTTGCCCATCGTCAGCACAGGCGGGCTAGTATCGCCGTCAGATTTTGCCTCGGCACTCTCTTCAAGGCTCCTGGCCAGACTCTTGTCATAACTCGTGGGGTCAATGCCCAAGATTCCCCCAACATACCCACCTCTTTCGCCTGGGACGCTGAACTCGCGGAAGAGATACTTCCATTCGTTCAGCCAGGCCTTGACGGCCTTGCCGATCTTGTCCTTGCCGTTCTTGGAATGATGGCCGGTGCCAGTGATGGCATAGACCACTCTCCGACCTTCACGAGCATGCTTCAGCAAAATCTTCTCTAGGTATTCAATAGCCTCCTCCGGATGCAGCCCATGCAGATCGACATATAACTCCTCTGATGAATCCTCTAGGCCAGCATGAGATAGATGTTTGTTCCTTTCCTCATATAATTGCCGGGCTGCTTCGCGATGGCACTTCCTCATTGCTTCGTTCTCGGCTTGGCCCCGCAGAGACAGTGCCTTGGCTGCCCTGGCATCATTCCGGTTCCAGGCTTGGGCGGCACTTCAAGGATGGATTAGCTTTCATAAGCCAACTTCACAATTGCGGTAGACTTACCCTTGAAGGAACTTGTTCCTCACCGTACCATGACCTATTGCCTTTGTCCGATACTTGATATACTGTTCGTTGGCACGTGCCCCTGTCTCGAGCCAAGGGATATTCTGTGGCGCTGGAATAGACTGGGCAGCAGCGCTGAACTCTCGGCCTCTGGCTGCGTCTTTGCCATTCTTGGACGTGGATTTCCCTTTTCCTGGGACTGGGGATGGGGACATGCGAACAACATCTGCTAAGGAAGCGGGAAGATTCTCCTTGCTTGGATTGTTCTCGCGATTGTGCGCGCCTCGTTTCCCATGATGCTTTTTTCCACTGTTCCTCGCGCTCATAGCAGCCAGGGTAGGAAACGCATCCGGATCATCCACCGACAGAGCGGCCGGATTCAATTCCCTATGCTGATGTCGGCTCCCTGGTCGAGAGAGGGGGCGAGAAAGATTCGTCATGCTGCCATTTCGTTTCCCCATGACATACTGCATAGCCTGCGGCGAATGCTTCCCACCAGACAAGCCCGATAGGTGGCCGGGATACTTTCCAACGTATTTACCACCCCACTGGTCTCCGCCCCCGGACTGGAGAGGAGGGAAAGCGTCCGAGACATTCTCTATGTGGAATTGCGGGCCGGTCGGGATTGTCTGACTTCCGTCTGCCAAGCTCATGTTTGCGACCAGGGCTGACGGATCATGAGAAAACGGGCAACCGTCACCGGCAAGGCAATTGCCCATCACCCAGTACCTGTGTTTCGTCAGTCTGAGGAGGTTTTGGGATCGCAGCTGCGATGGTTTCAACATACTTGCAAAGGTGGTTGGTGAGGTCGTGGCTAAATCGACAGTCCGCACGAAGACATTGTCCGGTGGACAGCCAGTATTTGCAGACCACCGGACTGCGACTCTGCAGCGACGGACTGGCAGCTTTAGGCTGCTCCATGGACATCGATTTTCCCACCACAACATGGCTATCATCCGCATGATTCAACAGAGCTTCTCCGTCTGTGAATTGTGAAAGTGATGCGATTGTGGCGCCAAGATCGTAACTATTCGCTTCCAGTGCTGCTTCAATCTCATCATTTGTCCGTTTATCTCCGAGAACAGTGCGCAGAATGTCATGCGGACTCATGTCGGGAACGAATTCCGGAGCTGTCGCACTCAATGATGCTGTGAGACTCGGCGTCCCTAAGGATGATGCGACACTATTGGCATCATCTGCGACCAACCAATCCACATTGCTATCGCTGCCAAAATCTCCGTAGAAGTCTGACACATGACTCTGGTCGGAAAACTCGTATGCATTCAAGTTCGGAGAATGGGGTATAGGTTGAGCCAAAGCGAGCCGAGGTGACGGGCGCGGAGAGGTGAAGGGTGACACTGTTGAGGAAAGCGGGGGTCGCGGATACCCCCCTCGTGAGCTCTGAAGCCAGGAAGTGCTTCCAGGACTGGTGCCTAGGTTGGAATGAGGCGACAAGGGTGTGGCTGAGCGGGCCATCTGCCAGGGAGCGGGGGACGAGCGACGGATGACTGTATGACGAGGAGGTGGTGGAGAGGCGTTGGGCAGAGTACGATTTCGATGGCGCCAAAGAACGTCCAGCACGGCATTTTCGAGAGCTGAGCCAGATAACGAGGTCTTTTCGCGGATAAAGTCTTCGACTTTCTCGGCCTGATCTTCCTCGTCCAGAGCTTCATCCTGGAGGATCTGCAAGCACTCCTCCAAAAGTTCTTCTGAAATCATGGTGAAAGAAGGTGTTGTGGCTAGCTAGTGCAGCTGGAAAGCAATGGAAACACGGTGGGAAGGAGAGATGTGGGGTAACCGTTGATTGCGAGGCTCGGGCAGTTGAACGGAGGGCATGGGAAAGCTGGAAGGAAAGCTGCGCGTTTCACAGAACAGTATACATTATTGAGTTTAATCCCAGACGATTTTCTTTGTTGGTTATATGAGTGACTATGAGCCAGAAAGAGGTTAGCAGGATAGAGAGGAGACAGGACAACAAGCTTGCGGTTCCACGGGTGATTACATCGCATCTGCCCTCACCATATGATCAACAACAACAACAAGAAAGACGGAAACAATAAGGAGGCATAAGGAATGAAAGAAAGAGAAGGTCGACCACGCGAAAGCTTGTTCGCGGGAGAATGAAAGGGTGGATGGAAAGAGGGGTCGAGAGAGGGGAGGAGGTAATGGAATGATAAAGAGGAGAGGAGAGGAGAGAAGAGGGATTGGGGGGAAGACTGACGGGATTGATTGGAATTGAGATGGGGAGTGATCAATCCCGCCAGTAGTGTACCCGTAGGTACTTGGAACCACTAAATAGCCCCTAAGGTACAGCAGGTACCTACTATGTACCTCCTAGGAACAGTGGCCACCTCCCCTTTAACAGTATGGTTTCCTCAATCACCTTCCCTCTAGGCCAGCTAGATCAACCTGTTTGCTCTTTATCTTGGCAAACATTGCTTGGTGATGTCCACCTGAATTGGTCTTTGGCTGTCAGGCTGTCGTATCAGGCTGTCAATTATTTGCCCCCTCGGCCCCTTTTTTTGCCCTTCTGGTCACCTTGCTGGTCTGATTGCTGAAGAGACCGACGGCTATCCGGGGAGAGGGGGAGTTTCTAGACTAATCACATAGTTAACTTACATGGCTAGTACATACATACAGCAGAAGATCTGCCGAAATGTTCTGGGCAATTGGGCAACACAACCTCTCCATCAAGTTTATTGCCGTTGGTCCTTTCGAAAGAAGCTAGTGGAATATGTTGTGCTGAGTACTGAATACATCGATCAAGGTGACGATGATAATACTCGTAAGACCTGCCATTAATAGGACAATCAGATGGTTAATTGTCTGGTATCCATGATACCAGTATTGTAAGATTCCGGAATACCCGCTCAGACCCCGTTCCTGCCTTAGTCAGAAGTTGATGATGTCGAACTCTCTCCAGGCAGCCAGCCAAAAAGCACAAGAGAGCAATTTCAACCTCAGACCCTGCAGCTGCCCTCAATCATTGATCATTCCGAAAGGCAGAAAAGCTTCACTAAGTAGAGACTCTGCAGTACTGGGCAGCTCCTTCCTCTCTTTTTACCGTGAATTCTCCTTTGACCCTGTTGCTGCTTCTTCATTCCGTCCGACTGCGCTTGCACACCTCATCATCGCATCACCCGTGGACAAACACTTCCGCTTATCCCCGCCCATGTCCGATTTCTACTCCAGGGCTTGAAAACGCCCTCCTTTCGAGAAGTAATTGGGGTATTGGGAATTCCATTGGGCACAACACGTGCTGTCACCAACATCAAAAAGAAAAATAGTTCCCTGAGACGATATCAAATTCCCTCGGATTGCGCCCGTTTCGTCATTCTTCCTTTTCAGGCTCCCGCTCCACTTTCGGCTGTCGATCCTGTGGCCTTCACTCGGGGTAGCTAATCGGTCTCCATACTCCAATTCTCCCCCGACTCGCTCACATCGCCCATATCTCAAAAATGCCTGCGGATTATACATCCACAGCGCGGGCTCTCGCTGTCTCCCCGACGTCGCCAGAAGCTTTTTCTCCATCGGACGAAGACATCTTCCCGCCATGGAGTCAACGAGCTTCCGCCCAGCGAAATGCACCAGGCACCGCTGGCCGGAAACCAACAACCTTCCGTGAGCAGGCCATCGACCGAGCAACTCAAATGTCGCGGCGGATAAGAACAGCATGGCGGAAGATGACTTTCTGGCAACGAGTCGGCGCAGTAGGTGCTTTTATCTTGGCTAACATGCTGGGACTGGCATTCCTGTTCTTTACCGGAAAGGTGTTCATTTGGATCCGGCCCGTGGCAGCACAGTGGGAGAAGTCTCGTTTGGCCTTCTTCATCCTTTGGCTATGTGTCTTTTTCGTTTCTTTTCCTCCCTTGGTAGGATGGTCAACATTCGGAACAGTCTCCGGCTATCTTTTTGGCGTATGGAAAGGGTGAGTTGGGCATCATTCGTCTACGATGCTTCATGAGTCTGACATCTCCACTAGGTGGCTCCTCTACGCCTCTGCAACCGTGCTCGGCTCGACGGTTTCATTCATCGTCTCTCGCACAGTTCTGTCTAAGTTTGTGCATCGGTTGATTGAGCGCGACAAACGTTTTGCAGCCCTCTCGTTGACCTTAAAGTACGATGGGTTGAAGCTGCTGTGCATGATCCGCCTATGCCCACTTCCCTACTCAGTATGTAATGGAGCCGTATCGACCTTTCCGACCGTTCATCCATTGATGTATGGACTCGCCACTGCAATTGTCTCCCCGAAGCTACTCGTCCCCGCCTTTATCGGCAGCAGGCTTCGTATTCTTTCAGAAAACAATGAAAAGATGAGCGCTGGCTCGAAGGCGGTCAACATTTGCAGTATAATTTTTACAATTGCTATTGGAGTCTTTACCGGACTGTATATATACAAAAGGTACTGTATGCGATCAAACTTACCGCCGCGTCCCCGCTAATGTGACATGCTAGGACTCTGGCTCGAGCCAAGGAATTGGAGGCCAAAGAACGTGAGGATATTCGACGGACTTTGCAGGCGGACCACGCCGCTCATCGCTCACATCAGGCCTTTTCGGAGGACCCGGATGTCGATAGGGCCGCCCGAACTCTTGCCCGCGATGAGGAGGAACAGATCGGGTTCACGGACTTGGATGATGATCACGTGGAATTGGCCATCGATGACGAGAGTGGGAGCGAGAACTTGAGCGGCCACGGCAAGTCGGCGCGCTATCGGGACGAGTTCACTGACAATGATTCGGATGCCTTCCGGGATGAAGACGGTGCGCATGAGGAGACTTATACCTTGCATACCCATGTGCGCCGAGACTGAAGCTTCTAGGACCGCCGGATCCCGACAAAGACCACACTTCATATACATCAGACCCTTGTTCTTGATTAGAGTTTTCTCCTACGAGCGATGCCTTGTATCCTATAAAGAGAGAGTGATGACTATTACGCTTCACGAATCCTGTTCTCCTGGTTTGGGAACTGGTCCTACTGCGAAGAATCCCAGGCGGCTTTCGGCCCCTCTTGTAATTCATCTGTTGAGTAAAACCAAATTGACATTGGCCTAATAATTGCATGATTTAGCACTCATGTAGATATAAATCTTATCTATCATAGTTATGTATGTATGTGTGTATGGCCTGCGTAGGGGGAGAATCGGGAACGGACTGGCGGGGATCCGGGCGAACATGCCGCCGATCCAGAAATGCATCTCCATCTGTCGTTCAGTTTATCGCCGCTTCCTCTTCATTTTCCGCTCTCCGACCCTCACTTTCCCCCTTGATTCGATCCCCCCTCTCATGGGCGAGAGAGGCAGAAAAAGAGAGGGTCTTGCTGTGGCTTACAAATGCGATCTTCCAAGGTTGGTATACCACTGATTTTGCCTCTTCAATGCTTGCATCAGCGGGGGAACTGGGGCATCATGGGTTTGGCTGATAAGGATCTTCCAATCGAATCCCCTCTCAGCCTGATATAAATGGTGTCGACCAGGGGTAAGTCAACTACTCTCTTGTGTATAATAGCTCCGGCCTCTGGCATCGTGTGTCAATTACTGGTGTGACTTTCTAACTCGCCTTCGAAGGGAAACCTTATACATTCTCAAGCCAAGCCGTTCGCTTCCCGAAGTCAGGGATTTCTCATAGTCAAACCTAGCATGGTTCGATAGAGGAACATACAGCTAGTATGAAAACCGCTGCCTCTCTGGTGCCCCAGGGCCCTAATGGGCGCGTCTCCTATACTAGCCCATTGAATCCATATTTGCCTACGAGCCTCGGGACTATGGCCAGTAGCGGGGGACAATTGTCCATGTTTTCGGCTCGGCAAGTCTTTCCTGAAAGCAGTCAGCCGGCACGGCTTCCTGCAATGATCCAGCCTACCAAAGTGTATGCCACTGGGCTTGTAAATGCGAATGGTGCCTTGGCCTCGACCGCGGCACCGACCTTGAATAGCAGTGCAATGCAGCCTCCTGTTTTGGAAAGCACGAGTCCTTCGCAGAGGTCGAACGGACAATTTGCGACTACTGCTACTACTCCCACTGCCAGCACTGCAACCACACTACATGCATCCAATGGTACGACTGTACCGCGCGATCATCTCAATGGATCAACAAATGGCTCATACTCTTCAAGCCTCTCATCCGGTGCTAGCCAATCAACGTCTGACTCGCCGTGCACAAAACTGACCGGCGCTCTATCCTCGGGTTCTGCTTCGATTTCAACCGAACCCAAGGACCGTCCGCATCGCATCCCGATTCCCATAAAGTATCGCCCGCGATCGTCGATTCCGCCGAGGATGCCTGCAGCAGTATATGCTCAGCAGTGCGTTGAAGCAGCGTATGCCTCTCGACTCAATCCTTACGCCCTACACAAGAAGGAGCAGGATGCGCTTCAGGACCATCTGTGTCATCTTCAAGTCACTGTGTATCTGAACATTCGAAATGGGATTTTACGCTTGTGGACACGAAACCCAATGGTGAGCGTTTCCAAAGAGGAAGCACTAGGATGTACGAAAGACTATCGCTGGGTGAATCTTGCCTCATTCGCTTATGAATGGCTCATCAGGAATGGATATATCAATTTCGGCTGTGTGGAGATTCCCGCCGCCCTGGTAAACCCCAGAAAGGGTCGTCAGAGGGATGGCCCGGTAATTGTGGTTATTGGAGCAGGTGTGGCAGGCTTGAGCTGTGCGCGACAATTGGAGGGACTATTTCGCCATTACCATGATGCCGACTCGTCTCCACGCGTGGTTGTCCTGGAAGGGAGGCGAAGGATTGGCGGTCGTATTTATTCGCATCCGCTACGCAGCCTGCAGTCCTCCAAATTGGCTCCAGGTCTGGTGCCGAAAGCCGAAATGGGCGCACAAATCATCGTGGGGTTTGAGCATGGCAATCCGTTGGATCAGATCGTTCGCGGCCAGCTGGCTCTCCCATATCATCTGTTACGTGATATATCAACGATCTATGATATTGATGGCTCTGCGGTAGACGAAGCCCGAGACGCAACGGCCGAGATGCTCTATAACGATGTCCTGGATCGTTCGGGGTTCTATCGTCACAAATCCGTGATTGTCCCGACGGCGGAAGGTGAGCGAGACTTGATCGATAACGGTCGTGACATCGTGACCAACGATGGCCTAACCGTCCGGCAATATGAAGAGGCCAGGGCTGCCGGTACGATCGGGCTATTGTTTCCTGCCAAAAAAATCCGTAGAGGAGTGGGTCACAAGACAGCAGAAATCAAACCAGTCGGTGCCCCTTCAGCAAACGCGGACAGTAACGAAGAGAACCCAACCAAGCTCGCTTGTCAGACGATGGGCTGGAGCCTGAAACCTGGGGTCTCAGATACTGAAATGATTAATCTAGATCCCATAGCCAAGGCCTTCCGGAATCAAACCCTGGGGGCCGTCTTAGATGAGGGTGTCCGGCAATACCAGCACATGCTGCCGCTGACACCGAAGGATATGCGATTGATGAACTGGCATATGGCCAATCTAGAATACGCGAATGCAGCCAACGTCGGCAAGCTCAGTCTTTCGGGGTGGGACCAGGATATGGGCAATGAGTTCGAAGGGGAGCACTCGCAGGTCATTGGCGGATACCAGCAGCTTCCGTATGGGCTGTGGTCATTGCCAACCAAGCTTGACGTACATCCAAACAAAGTCGTTTGCAGGATCTCTTATGATCAGACTGGCCGCGGCAAACAGAAAGCCCACATCCAGTGTGAAGACGGTGAGAGCTTCATGGCGGACAAAGTCGTGTTCACAGGATCCCTGGGTGTTCTCAAGCACCGAAGCATCCAATTCTCCCCTCCTCTTCCCGAGTGGAAACTGGGGGCAATCGACCGGCTAGGTTTCGGGGTCATGAACAAGGTGATTCTTGTATTCGACCAACCCTTCTGGGACACGGAACGTGACATGTTTGGTCTATTACGCGAGCCCCAGAACCGCGACAGCATGAGACAAGAAGACTATTCCGCCAATCGAGGTCGGTTCTACCTCTTCTGGAACTGCATGCGAACGACCGGTCTGCCTGTGCTCATAGCCCTGATGGCCGGTGACGCCGCTCACCAAGCCGAATGCACTCCGGACGCCGAGATCATCGCCGAAGTGACCAGCCAGCTCCGCAACGTGTTCAAGCACGTTGCTGTCCCGGACCCTCTGGAGACGATCATCACTCGCTGGGCCAGTGACAAGTTCACTCGCGGAAGCTATTCCTTCGTCGCCGCCCACTCCCTTCCCGGCGACTACGATCTCATGGCCCAGTCGATCGGCAACCTGCACTTTGCCGGCGAAGCCACTTGTGGCACCCACCCTGCCACCGTGCACGGTGCCTACCTGTCAGGTCTACGCGCAGCCTCGGAAATCATCGACAGCGTTCTCGGGCCTATCGAAATCACCACCCCTCTTGTGCCAGAAAAGGGCTCCAAGGTCGTCCCACCGGGTGACTCCCTTCTCGCTCCGTCTCCGTCAACGACAACAACCGCAAACACCGGCCAAAAGCGCAAACAACAGCATCATCCTTCATCCACCGCCACCACCACCACCACCACCTCACTCCTCCCCAATCAACGACCCGCTACCAACCCAGACGACCCCAACCCCTCCCCGGAGTCCCTCCACCGCGCCGCCTACGACAAGGCGATGTGGGCCGCCGTCACCGCCGAAATCGGTGCGCCCGTGCCTCGTCCCGCGCGCGCCGTCCTCAACCCGTTCCTCCTCTACCAGAAGGACGTCTGGGCCCGGTGCCGCGCCCAGTGCGACGCAGCCCGGCGCGCGGCCACCAACGACCCGAGCGCCAAAGCGGGCCGCGACGAGATCCGCCAGGCGCTGGGCCAGATGTGGCGCCAGGCCGACCCGGCCGAGAAGCGGCCCTACCTCGAGCAGATCGAGGCGAACCGGCAGACCAACGCGGCGGTCGTGGAGCAGTGGCGTCGCGAAGCCGCCGAGTGGGAGAAACGCGCCCTGCAGGTTCGGGAGCGGTGGGGTCGGGAGCATCCGTTTGACGGGTGGGTGGCGGAGCGAGAGTTGGATCTTCGTTTGGGGGATGCTGCTGCGGGTGAAATTTCGAATGGTATTGGTGGTGGTGGTGGTGCGGCTAGTGGTGGTGCGGCCAGTGGTGATGTGCTTGCAAGGGTAATGCAGAATGGCACCAGCAACAACACCAGCAACACCAACACCAGCAGCGTGGCCAACAGCACTCCCGTATCGTATGCCGGGAGCGCTCTTACATCTATACAAGCTATTTCCTTTCTGCTCAGCAACAGCGGCGAGTGGAACGGTCCGACTCATGCCTAAGCGAGGAAAAGTTAGTAGAACTTAGTGTTATACTTACTATCTTTGCAAGAACATTCAAGAAGAAGTTTCATGACTTTCTATTTCTAATTCTATCCTTGTTGTAACAATGTATTTCCACAGTCAGAAGATCCAGTTCCAGTCATCGTTCGAATTCCATGGAAAGGAAAACCCCAACCAACCCTCCTGGTGTGTGGTGCGTGTGTTGTATCACGTTGTATGTACATCACAAACATGAGATCAGATCTGAAACGAAAAAAGAATAAAAACAAAGATAAAAAAACGCTAAGTCTAAGATATAATCCCGTAACAGAATCGTAGCAGGAAGAAATTCCTGACGGAAAAGAGACAAAGGGGTATCATCATCCTCTGCGTGTATGGTGCACACACAACAAGGTGACAAATGGGGGAGTGTGTCTAGTCTAGGAAATGGAAACCCGATCGATGCGATGGAAGGCATTGAGAAAAGGGTGGGGGGCGAATGCGGTTGTAAAGGGCGGTAGATAAGGAAAGGGTTTTTGCGAAATCGCTTAAAGAAGAGGGTTGGACTTGTACTCGGTGGTAGCACCATCGGACTCCTTCTTGACCTCGCCGTTGACCTCCTGGGTAGGCTGGACAGTGGACTTCTCGACGCTGGTGACGGGCTCCTCGTCATTGGACTCCTTCTCGGCGATGTACTTCTCGGCTTCGAGGGCAGCAATGCAGCCGGATCCTGGAGACAGTAGAAGGTCAGCAAGATCTGTTACTTGTGTGGAGAAAGTGAGAAACATACCGGCACTGGTGATGGCCTGGCGGTAGCGCTTGTCCTGGACGTCACCACAGGCGAAGACACCCTCAACGCTGGTGTAGCTGGTACCGGGCTGGGTGACGATGTATCCATCCTCATCGAGGTTGATCTGGCCCTTGACCAGGGCGGTGGCGGGGTCGTGGCCGACGGCGTAGAAGAGACCGTTGGCGTCGACGACCTCCTCCTCGCCGGAGACGACGTTCTTGACGCGCAGGTGGGTCATCAGGCCCATGGGCTTCTCCTCGCCGAGGACCTCGGTGGCAACGGTGTTGAAGCGGACGGTGACCTTGGGGTGGGCCAGGAGACGCTGGGCCATGGTCTTGCTGGCACGGAGCTTGTCCTTGCGGACGAGGACGGTCACGCTGCTGCCGTACTTGGCGAGGAACATGGCCTCCTCGGCGGCGGAGTCACCACCACCGATGACGAAGAGGGGCTTGTTGCGGAAGATGGGGACGGCACCGTCGCAGACGGCGCAGGCCGAAATACCGTTCTGCCAGTACTTCTCCTCGCCGGGGAGGTCGAGACGGCGGGCGTTAGCACCGGTGGCGATGATGACAGCATCGGCAGTGTGAGCGGGCTCATTGTCGGGGCCGTCGTTCCACTCGGTCCAGAGCTTGAAGGGGCGCTGGGAGAAGTCGACCTTGGAGATGGTCTCGGTGATCACCTCAGTGCCGAAGCGGATGGACTGCTTGCGCATGTTCTCCATGAGTTCACCGCCGCCGATTCCATCGGGGAAACCGGGGAAGTTCTCGATGTCGGTAGTGGTGGTAAGCTGACCGCCAGCGGCGGTGCCGTTAGCCAACATACCCTCATAGAGGACGGGCTTGAGTTCGGCACGGGACAGGTAGATGGCAGCGGTGTGCGCAGCGGGGCCGGAGCCGATAACTAATGGCAACAAGATGGTTAAGACCCGCTTCAGGCAGCCCAATTGAGACGATGATACTTACTGACGACGTTGGTGTGAACCATTCTGGAGGATGAAGGAGGATTGACGCGCAGTGGCGTCGAAAGGGGATTCGGGAGAGCGGAAGTTGCAGGTGAGGATTTTTGATGGAGCGAAGAAGTGGCCGCGGCAGTCAATCCAAGCGATGCACGGAGGGAGGAGAAGGGAAAGCGACGAAAGGCGGAGGAAAACAGATTGGCGGTGTTTGGGGAGGAAGAGGGAAAAGTTATAAGAAGGAAGTGGAGGATGGTGTGGTGGAAGCAGTGGAAGCAGAATGAATTAATAGTGATGGGAGAAGCCGAACGGAGGGGCAGCGAATCCACCAGAAAGTCGGGCTGGCCGGGGCGAGATTAGCTAAGAGGGCAGTCCACTTAACAATAACACCAACCCATGCAATTTTCAAATCGGATCCAGACTTGGAAAATTATGAAAGGGCGGTTAAACTCTTTTTTGTTTTTTGTTTTCTTTTTGTTTTTTAGTCAAATGCATACAGACATCCATGCAGGACCAAGCCAACAATGAATTTCTCACAAATCACCGGCGGCGAGGCCCTGGTCACGTGGCTGGCTTACCAAGCGGCGGCCGGCCGAGACCCCCATTGATTATCGATCAGATTATCTCATTATCTAGAGAGTACATCGTTCATTCATCATTCATCTCATCAAGTTCATGCATGTCCTTATCGTCAATCATCACCCCTCAACCCCCACCCCTCACCCCTCATTTGGATCGTCCGAACCACTTTTTTCGTTTCGAAGGAGTCGTCTCCTCCCTCTCGCCCTCTTCTTCCCCCTCCATATCGTCCACGCTCGCACCCACCAACCCGGCTGGGGCCATCCTACTACTACCCTCGCCCACTCCCCCACCATATACCTCTCGAGGATTGTCATAGCCACCCTCGTCCTCTTCATCTTCCTCGTCGCTCATCCCGTTATCATAGTCATCCTCAACCTCCGTGTCCTCCGCTGGCAACCTCTCTCTCTTGGCGCCCCGGACTCCCAACCATTTCTTCCACCCTTTGGCGACCGGGGCTGCTGGTAAGTCAAAGTCCATCCCTTCGTATCGGAGCGCGGGAATCAGCAGCTTATATGGGGTCGTGATACCTGCTGGGTCTTTGGGGTTGAGCTCGAGATTGAGCGTGATAGCAAGGCCTTCTTCCATATTGCTCGGTCCATCCAGCCCTCCACCTGCACGGCTGCCCATCCTTTGGCTAGCATTCGTGGGGCGGCGTTGTAAGAATCCAGGCTGGAAGCCATCCCCTGTTTCAGCCGAAGTGAAGGGTCCATCCATGCTCATCCGTCGGCCGATTGGGGCCTCGCCTAGGTTGAATTCTTTCGTAGGTGGCGGGCCACGGCCTGAAAGCCGGCGGAATAGGCCTCCGCTGGGAGGCTTATCCCCACGGGTCAATGATAGCGTTCTTTTCAATTTACGCGGGCGGGGCTCCTCCGCGCCGGGTCTCAGAGCAAACCGCGGTGTGCCTGGGGGCGTAGAACCTAGGAGTATGTTAGCAAACCTTCCGTACTAGTCGCTCGGGCTGACCGACCTGGCTGGTATTGGCGGATGGAGCACCAATTGCGTCGAGGTAGCAGTCTCTTATTGTTGCGAGGCTTGTTGTTCACATCATGAGTGAAAAGCGGGACCATGTCTTCGTCGGTATTGGTATCCATGTGATGCACCCGGTTGCGCTTGTTCAGCATGTCGGAAATCATCTCCGTCTCAGGCAGGTCCGCAATAGCGGAAGAGATGACATTGGCCATGTAACGGTAGTCCTTGTCTCTAGGGATGCTCAATTTCGGATTCGAGTAGAATTGGCCGACGGCGGCCAGATGGACATCTCCGCTAGAAAGCAATCCAGTCAGCTGCTGTTTGTAGGATACGCCACTCGAACATACCTCAGGACAGTGACTCGAACTGATTTTTCTGCGGCCAAGTCCTGCAGATCCTCGATCAAATACGTCCGCTCGGACTTGTGGTGCTTAGCCGTCCAGTGGTCGTCGAAGATCTCTACTTTGCCGCCATTCTTGTTGACCAAGCCGCCGAAAAGTCCCGCCTTACCCAGGGACTTGCGGCTATTGAGAATGTTCTTGACCATTGCCTTCGAACTTGTTAGCAAACTTGTACGTCCCGAGATTCTGAGTCTATCACATACCACTCTAGGGTACGCTATTGGGATACCCAGAGAGACAATCAAGTGCTTGGTCTCACTCCTCGTTATCTCGCGATGACATCGGTCCCAGATCAGATCGCACGTTTGTTCGCTGAGAATTTCATCGGTCTGTAGCATCACACGAGTTAGTAAGCACGACTCAATACTGGTATTCCATCGACTTACCATTCGCTCCGTACGGCAATCTAATCCAAGGAAAGACACTCCGTCACCCAAGGACATGAATAGATGCCGACTCTTTTGGTTAATATAGGGGCCTGGTTGAGCTCCAAGAAGCCAGCTCGGCTCCTCAGCCTCGGTCTCTTCGGGAACGCTGTGATGTTGGAACAAGAGGTAGTACTTGAATGCAATATTCCCGAGTCCCGAGATGACAGCACAGTTCATGAACTCCTCTGGGTAGGATCCAAATCCTTCGATAATCTCGTGATCGTTCCACACGTTCACCATGGGAATCTGGGAGCCGGCCAAGGAAAAGAGCCCTTGCGAGAACCACGTTGAGTAGTTCCCAAGATAGAAGTCCTCTAGCTCGGCTCGAAACTCGGCTGTAAATGAAGCGTCATACTTCTCGCCCAAGCTCTTGATCTTCACCCATTCCTGGAAATGGGCTGTCTCTGCTATGACCTTGTCATTAAAGATCTGGTCACCTCCACCAATCATGACGTGGAAGGGCTGGGTCTGGTGCTCAGTCAATATGTCACGCCACAACGGATCAGGCCCACACAATTTGTTGGGGTTGACAGCTGCGCTAAAGCCGTTGCCCGTATGGAACACGATGTTCATTGATTGTCCACGTGCGGGAACCCAAAACCCTATGGCAGGTCCTTGATTCAGCCTATAGGCAATCCGCTGCTGGGTAGGGCCTAGTTCAACCTCAATGTTGAACCTCCAGAACGTCACATCTCGTCCTGGGTCCGCGTAGAGACGGGCTCCAGTGACCTCAGTATAGCTTCCAGCGACTTCTCCGTCCATGGAGTGAAGTCGATTGGCGGGAACAGGCTGCTTGACACCCTCACTGCTGTAGTCGACCATGCTGGGGGACATCTCAAACAGGCCATCGTCATTCTCAATGACCGAGAGGTCTGTCTCTTCGTCGATATGGTCCACTGGTTTGACATATAGAGCCCGCCCGTCTCGTCCCAGCTTCATCAACCCTGCCGTAGGATCAACGTACTCGGGTGCAAGGCGAGCTTCTTCGCCATTTACCTGAACTGGTGGAGGGGGGAGAAGATCCATAGGTTGTGGGAATAATCGAAGGGTTGGGGATGACTCATAAGACGAGCGCGAATCTTGGGTCACAATGAGAATGCTACCTCTCCATGTCTCCTTGTTAAATGGCCCATTGGGCCCGTCAATGCGGACTCGTCTTAGTCCGCCATAGCGGAGTAGAGGCCCACATTTCAGGAATATCGGCGGCTGGAAGCGTTTGCTACCTAAACGACAATCCTTATCAGTACTTGAAGAACTTTCCTTGGATCCCCACTCGGAGAGCTTACCTGCTGATTTTTGAGCCGGTGATCTTTGCGGGAAGTCGCTTGGAATTGCCCTGCTGCGTCGACGATTATTACTCGTGGCGCCTTCCCACCAAGCCTTGCTTCGATCGGCATCGAGTCGCTGGAAGTCAAAGTCGGAAGCTCCTAATCGGGCAACTTGTGCGGTCTTCCACTCCGATAGTGGAGGAGGTGTGGGCGGTGGCACATTGAATGAGACCTTGGGTTTTGACGGCGCACTTGTTTCTGTGCCGAAAGTCTCTCGGCTCAAATCGGCGCTCATATCGACACCCAAGGGGATAGACAGCTCCGGGGCAACTCCGGCAAGGTTGTTTGCAGTACTTTGAGGGAACATTGTCTTTGGTTGCGGAGGACCTGCAGCTGGGCCAACTTGTGGCAATGGTCTGCCTTTTTGAGCCACAGATTCATGCTGTGCTTGCGGCCCTGGCCCCGGCCCAGGCTTGCTGGATTCCATTTGACTGGGCACATTCTTTCTGCCATGGGGCGCCATCTTATCCTGTTTCGGGGGAGTTAAATCAAAGGCAGCGGAGGCATAAGCTCGCGAATCCTGGTGACTGCCTGTGTTCATCGCTCGTGGGCCCATAGGAGGTCCTGCAGGTCTGTGACTTACGGTAACCGTTCGTCTAGGGGCGGTGCCTCTGTTCAATACCGCCGCGCTCGATTGTCTAGTGCTGGCATAGGGGCCCCCATCAACCGCGTATGCCGCTGGGTCCTGTAGAGAAGGGGCTCTGGTGCGGGATGGTCTGGGCTTCTCGTATGGATTTTGTTCCAGTGGGCCATATTCGGCTCGGGGCTCAGAAGCAAGGCGTCGGTGTTCCGGTCGCTTCGTACCCGGTGCAGCAGGCTGGCTATGTCTAGGAGCCTGTCCACTCATGGCTCGTAGAGCGTCCTCGCGGCCTGCTACTCTTGCATCGGCCCGATTTGGGGGTTGCGAGGATGCTGGTGCTCGGCCGTCGGCCTCCCTTTGCATTCGTTCTTTGAGCTTCATTTCAGCCTCCAGCACCCGTGCTCTTTTCTTCTCTTTCAATGATACCTCTAGCATTTGAAGGGGCGAGCGATCCGAGGCCAAGGACTGTCCAGGGTCCGCTGTAGATCGCCGCGTATTCGACCGGCTCAGGGGAGATGCTTGGCTTTCGGGGACTGGGGGCTTGGGACCATCACCTCGGTGTCGCTTGATGCCGGTGGCCTGTGGCGGTTCGTTCTCCTCGGACCAGAGGGACGGCTCTAGAGTCGGTAGCCTGTCTGTCCGCCCCATGACCTCTTCTGGGTGCGTCTTACCTCGGCCTTTGGTGTTTGTGGAACCTGAGCGGGATGTACGATTGCCATGTGGCCTTTCGGGGATGTAAGGCACGAGAGGGATGCTCTGGTCCTTCACGCTCTTCGAATAGCTCCCCCCATCGGGCTCGTGCTCGGTAGTGAACCATCCCTGGGAGGGCTGTCGCCGATGCGATGTGACTGGACGCGAGGTGTTGCTGGACACTTGATCGGAAGGCATGGTGTCTCCGCCCTCAGTTGCTTGGATACTTTCTGTGGCCATGGTTGGGATGGATTCGTGGTCTGAGGAGCGACTTGCACTGTAGCGCAAGCCCGCATCGACGACTTTCGGAGAGCTCGTCACGGCTGTAGACAAGGAGGACCGAATATACTGGCCCTGCGTCTAGGAATTGCGTATACCAAACAATTCGAGCCTATACCTATGATCGCATAGTTGGCTATGACAGCGAGCGACCTCTAGTATGGGTAATGTTGCAGCGCGACGTCGGCGGGCAATGTGCCGATGCGGAGTATGATTACAGGAGGGCTGGAAGCAAGTATACACTTCCTTTTGAGTGCGGTGTTACACAAGCCACGAAACGCGGGCTCTGGTGTTGTTGACTGGTGGCAGGACAATGAATAAATGCAGGCTAGAGACGTGGAGCATGCGGTGAAAGAAACGTCAATACAGGTGGATGTCAATGGATATTGGCGCAAAGTGCAAGTGAAGGGAGGGAGGGAGGATTGAACTGCGATGATGGACTGGGGGGGGCGTGGGGGAGGAAGAATAATATAAACGGGTGGCTGGCAGACCAACTACTAACTACTAACCAGCCCGGCCCTGCCTCTTCCTCCTCTTCCTCCTGCGTCAGGCGGGGCTGCACCACGAGCACCGCCGAGTACGTATACTGTACATATCAGGCTTCCATTTTTTTTTCTTTTCTTTTCTTTTTCGGTTGTCGCGATTCTGTGCTTAATGTTTTACAGCCATCTTTGGAGAGGGTCTCGATGACTATATGTATGCCCTGGCGTATGTGATTGGCACCCTCGATTCTCACCAAATCACCGAGTCAAACGTTGCCTGCCCTTCTCACCGATGGCGTCGATCAATTTCCACCTCGCTGCTGGCAGCGCAGTTGTCAATTCAGCCCAATGCCTGGAGACGGCTACCAATGCTTTGATTTGATCTCTCCTGTGTGGTCCCGTCCTTTTTCCGATACTCGTTCTCCGCGGTTCAGTACGAAATCATCATAAATCCTGTGGGAGCGGACGGCCCCAGCTTTGATGGCTCCGGCGAAAAAAAAAAAAAAAAAAAAAAAATTGGGAAGTCGACCTATCATTAGTGTTGGGCTAGGATGTTGCAGCTTGCTGCCACTTTTCTGGGTCATCGTTTAGCATGAAACACTCTATCTTGACGACCAATGCTGGCACATTGGGCCCCTATCGACATGCATCGATCTGTCGGGTGTCTCGGAGTCATGCAGGCCAATGGAGTACGCGAGGTACCTGGTAGATGTACTTTGGGCTTGCTGTGGTAGTCACGGTACGGTGGCTTACGTTGATACGCAGGTGTCCGCCTGGGCTATATTAGCATCCGCGTGACTTGAGGTACTCTCGGCTGCGAATTGCGGCTACAGTCGCCGTCCGGCTAGGCATGAGTGCTACATAGTTGTTCTCGCCTTGAGGTCAGGTTAGAGCACATGAGGATGTGCGAGGCCTGGCTGGGACGGGCTGTTCCTGAAGAAATGGGAGGATGCAAAAGAAAAAAAGAAATCGACACCTGTGAGATTCGAACTCACGCGGGCGAACCCACTGGCTTAGCAGGCCAGCACCTTAACCACTCGGTCAAAGTGTCCAATTGCTGGACTACTTTGACTTCCAAATTTTTATATACCACGTATCTGCGATCTGCACTTGTTCAATGATTCTATCGCCTGTAAAATTATCCGCCTTTGGCATCAGTTCGCTAGCTTTATTTTGTCTCATGTCATATGGTAGAATGTCATGTCCCATACATTCTTCAACTACACAGCTTGGTGTATGTATACATGATATCTCCGTGACCGGTGGTTGTACTTTCGGAGCTCTTGCATGTCACCGTCGTCATCGTGTCTATGACGCGCTAAAGGGCCGGCACGCCTTTTATGCGAGCTGGTTCGTGTATGTCTCGGATGTATGCTTCTCTGGGACTGTTTATTGCCGGCTACAAATCTTCCGAGGGATTGGTGCCCCTTGTGGTCTCTCACTCGGTGGTTAGGGCCAGTGTCCCATGTGCGCTGTGTTGCACATCAGGTGGGATCCGGGTAGCTTGGTGGTCTGTCATGGATTCAAGCTTATCTCTGGCCCTTGAGACTCGGCTTGGTGTGTTGGCTCGTTGCTAATCTGCTTGGGCGGCTGCGATGATGCACCGTACATCTAAATTCTGTCATCTGTGGTTGGGTTGTGATAGGAATCGTCTCTGGCTTCGGGTTTGGCCTGGTGAGGCCAGAGTGCTCGGCGTGGGTACGGTGGCCACCTTCGACCAGGTATCACCCATGTGTCGTGTGTCTTCAGTTCTTTCTCTGTTGTGCCGTTTGGTTGGTGTCGCTGGTTCGTGCAGCTTCACATCGTCGTCGTGCTATATATTTGCATCGGGAGGGGGCGTTTTTGGGCAGTAGTTGCCATCCCCAGCCCACGGTCAATTGCACGAAGTGGTCGGACACTCGCCGACCGTGGATGTGAAATGATAGTTTCAGGCTTCACCATGTACCATGCTTATTCTACACTTTCCACCATGATGGAGGTGGTCTGTATCTACACCGCGCGCGTCCATGGACAGCGGACACAGTGCGCCGGTGGAAAGGTATGTTTCCGCACTCACGATAATATAACACCCGACCACAGGGTACCCAGCACAGGACCAATCGAGATAGAGAAAAAACATAAGATGAAGATCTATAGAAGTGGGAAGCACGCCTATAGCTCAGACTAATAAGGCAGCAAATCTATTGCGCATCGAGAACCTTGAAGTCATGTATTGTTCCCACCCAGGTTGTATACCAAAACAAGCTACCAGGCGACTAATGACAGCTATAATCCAAAGAGTCATAGAAATAAGAAATTACTGACGTAATCAAGAATTGGACACTTTGACCGAGTGGTTAAGGTGCTGGCCTGCTAAGCCAGTGGGTTCGCCCGCGTGAGTTCGAATCTCACAGGTGTCG